CCTTTGTATAGAAAGCCTGTGACCTGCCATATCTGTCAAGAACATATCACTGCTATATCCCCATCATTCACTGATTACCCTACTCCCTCCTCTTCCTTCCCTCTCCCCCCCCCCTTTTTTTGTGTGACTTTTTATTGCTATTTCAGTACCTTGATCCTGAACATGAAAACGATCAGTGGTCAAGACTCAGCTATATCTAAACATCTTTATGCTTGGCCTTCCAGGACAGATTTGCACATCCTAGAATGAAACAGTTCAAAAAGCTCAGGTGAAATGTATGAGATCTGAAAAAGGATTATACTAAGTTCAGTAAAGGCTTGCAGACAGAGCTCCCTGTAGAGATTATATGTATTGGTTGAATTGGCTTGTTGAGAAGGATGGAAAGTCCACTGACTTTTGGGAAACTTCCTTTTCTACCTCTTTGTATTGATGATTCAACTTGCTTTGGTAATACTTGTAAAACATCATAAAGAAAAGTCTTGAATGTCATCAGAACTTTAGCTTATAAAAAGAATCAAGTCCAAAGTATTTGTTAATGGTTTGTACCTTGGTCCTTTCAAGGAGTTTTCTGTTTCCCTTTTAGTTGTTTTACACCTTGTCAATATCTCATTTAAAAGGAAATTAACATAATGCAAAGTTTTAAAATTGTATTTTAAAAATCCCAATTCCTTAATTGGTTACCAGTACCTCCTAGATTATTAAATCTGAAATATTTTATAGCAGATTTCAGTTTGCATAGTGTTTGCGATACTCGAGTACAGTGGTTCTCAACCTTTTTTGTACCAGGACCCATTTCTAAACGAGGAAGGCCAGTCCTGACCCACTGCCCCCAGGCCCCAGCCTCCCAGTGTGTGGGGCATGGGGGGCCCAGCCAGCCCCTTACAAGTTGGAACTCTGCCAGCCTGCAAGGGAAAAGCCATGGTTTCCCACATTTTTCTCCTTTTAAGGAAAATCCATTTTTAAAGTCTGTTGGCGACCCTTTTGTATATTCTTGCAACCCACTTTTGGGTCATGACCCATGGGTTGAACAATGCTGTTCTAAACTATTTTATACTTAAGACACCCCTCTAAAACTCTTGTGAATTTGGTGGCAACCCAATTGAGAGCCACTGTTCTGCTCAGTTTACCTATTTGACCTGCTGCCCCCATGTAGCAGTGTCCCACATGCCTCTTTCCAAGAAATGTCTGCAGAGCTGGAAAAGGGTCCAGTAACCTAATGTAGGCAGGAACTGCTTCCCTTCTGCCTCATCCACCTCCTGGTTTGGCTCCATAACCACCTCCTGGAAACAGAGGTGCATGAATCTGGCTGCGGAGGTGGCAGCAGTGGTGCCAATGTTGCTACATCTTTGAAAGGGTCTTGCAGAACCCTGGTTGATAACTGCTGCCCTTGTAGAAATATTATGAAACTTGTAGGAATTCAGTTTTCTGAGGTTATTTATCCAGTGACAAACTATTCCAGTGGGTTGGTTGCTTGGGTTTTTGGGATAGATGTTTGGCAAAAAAGAATGGGAATGTTTTGATCAGTTTTTGCAAAATCTCACTTAATTTTTTGGCCAGATTTGATCTGACTATAGGAATATTTTTACTGCAGAACTAGCCCATGCTTTTACTGAGGTGTTGTGTAAAATCTTTTTCCAGAAAGCCGTCCAATTTTAGTGGTGCGTTCAGTTTGGGTTAGCTGGCATTGCTGAGGGTTTGGGCTAGCACCCAGGTTTTGCTTTCCCCCCAATTGAGAAACTGCCCACTTTGCAGGTAGGATGCAAGCTTGAACATCCAAAGCTAGTTTTCCTTCTGAATTGTGGGAATTCTAGCCAATTCAGCCTTTGGCAACATGAAATTGTGAGGATTGTTCCTACAGAATTTAGGTATGCACAAGCTAGTCCATTACCTTTGAGGACACAGTTACTTTGTCGTGTGATGAGGCAAACCTGGGTGCTACTCCCCACTAACTTGTGATTCTCAAGGGCAGTACAGGACTTGAGGTCTGAAATATCTTTATGCTGATGTTCAGTCTAACAATAATATTTTTTTCTTCTTCCTCTTCCACATTATTAGGACCTGTTTGTGTGAACTGTCGAAATCTATTTTAGTTTGTATCACCATCTTGGGCAATTCTTCCATGCTTGATCACCAAGAGAAGTGAAATGATCTGTTCATAAATTGTCCATGTGTTTAGTGCTTGTCAACATGCAGAATGAGTACTTTCTTCGACTTAGTCTATACTATGGAGCTGCTGCTTCTTTAATTACAGCAGTGCTCTACCTGCAGTGGCTGTGCAACATTAGCTGTACCCGCTGTGTAGTTGCTGTTCTACTGACGCAAGGTATTTGTCTGCCTGAATGACAAACTGACAAGGCAGCAGCTTTCTTTTTCTGGCAGGACTGCATCCACTGTGGGAACTTTGCCCTAGCTGCCTCAGCTACAGGGTGTGATCTTTTTCATATGCTGCCCAGACACAACTCTGCTGGCAGAGCTGTGTAATGCAGACCAGGTCTCAGCAGTTGTTGAAATTAATGTCCAGAAAAAATCCTGTAACTATATTTATCTGAGCCTGGCATTACAGATCAGTCTGTGTATTTGCTGACTTCCCCTACTGCACTGTGCCAGCTGTTCTTTGTACTTTCTCCTCATTTATGCTCTTATTTCTATATTCCCCTTCTGGTCTGTCTCTGACTCAGCTTTTCAGTAGGAAAAGTCTTTCTTTACTTTTTTCCTAACATGTTTCCAAGTTTGTTCAGATTTTCTTTCTTAGTATTTCTTTGAGTCAGTAATGGAACAGACTTGAAAATTTTGACTGCTGTGCAATCGGTAGTAATCATGACGTGCTGTTTGAGACTCATTTTAGGCTCCTGCACATACTAAATTTATAGCACGATGAACATGTTAATTGCACCTTAAATAGCAACATGCCATAGGTTCAGCCAATTTATGGTGCCATAAAATAGTAAACCAGCCACAAAGATATTCCACATAAAATGTGAAACTTCTTTGTGGCTGATTTCCATAGTATCATAAAATTCAACATGCGGTATGCCCCATGATTCTGATGCTTACAATTAGCTGATTTTTGGCATTGGGACTGGTGTAGCCCAGCTCCTCTTGGGCTACCCCATTCCTGATGCAGATTGAGATGGCCTCAGGCTAGTGCTGACAATGGGCTGTGGGTTGGGTGGGAATACTATATACAGCCCAGTCACAAAGATGTTACTCAATTTATGTGGAATATTTGCGGCTGTGTTGCCATTTTATGGCATCATAAATTGGCAGAACATGGGACATGTTCCCATTAGGAACCTTGCAACCCTTGTATCTGGCAATTTAAAACTGTTAGAGCAGAAAGTTTCTTTTTACACACTAGCGGAAGAAGGTTTGTGTGACTTGTAAAATTCTGTTTTGGTCAGTATGATTCTCAACTGCTGGGTCTTTGAGGGAAATGAACTTATGGTCTGTGTGTAAATATCTATACATTTGATGTCTGTTCATGGCATTCAGTTCCATGTTTTTAGCCTGCAAGATGCACTTCTTTCTGTCATTCAGAGGAGAGCTGAAAGCAAATTAAATCTCTCTGCATAAATGTCAGTGCTATACCATTTATATGCTCTGTCGCATCTGGTCCTGTTCTCTGATTTTGTGCTGGCTTTTCTGTGTCTTACTACATTCTTCTTTTTTTTTTTAAAGCACTGTGTTTCTACAGTGCTTATCACTATTATCTTGGCGCTCTGTTTTGAGGGCATTGTCACTTCCAGCTTTGTTTAATTAAATGAGAATTGTTCACCTAACTGCATATAGCCTACTTAGCTTAAAGATTGGATTTTAATAACTATGCTGTCACCTTTTGTTAAAAGATATGTGGGCTGTACTTGAAGTCTAAACTAATTGTTGCTAAAAACTTGAGACTTGTAATTTTAAAAAATGGGGGAGAGTGCTATGGAATAATGAAGTAATCTGAATTCCTGAGTGTGTAGCCCAGTGACTTTGAATTTTGGTGAAATGCTATGTACAGTTATTGATTTGGAATCAAGCTAGCATGCACCATTATTGAGTTTCCTCAACAAGCAGCATAGGAGTGGTGGAAACTAAATGGAAGTATTTACGGTCACAGCATATGCTGATCAAGATGGCACAGAATGCATGCTATTCTAATGTGGTTATTTGCAATAACTCTGGAAACTGGTCTTGTTTTCTCACAGAGGTGTCAGCTGTCAACTCTGGGGAATTTTGAGGCCTTTGAATGGAGTGTTGTGCTGTATAGGAAGGAGGGTCTGAATTCGCAGGGGGATAAGCTGGGTAAATGAGACTGGGAAAAGCAGATCACAACTTGTTCCTCTTTCCCCTGCCATTAACTAAGCAGACTCACTCGTCTGGATCTCTTAAAAAGAGCTCTCTCTCCTGCTGCTGGTGATGTGTCCTTCCCTCATGCCAGAAAGGAGCCTGAAGCACAGGCAGCCTGTGAGAGATCAGAACTCTTTGCAGGTGGACTCTCAAGTGAGTGAAGATGGTCAAGATCTGTTAGCTTTGTGTAGGTGTCAAGGAGTTAGTATATCTGTTTGAAGGAAAGCAGGGAGGGGAAGGATCGGAAATGGGAAAAGAGATTGCTTAAGAGGTGAAGAGCAGATACTGTATTTGTTGTCCTGAAAGGGGCAAAAGCAGATTCAGCAGAATCCAAAGCTGTAATACTATACTTTTAACTATGCTTCTGATCTGCTATAATCAAGTTCAGTTTTATTTTATTGGGCTTCTGTGCTGTGTCAGTAAACAGATGAGTGCTGTCACTTCAAAATACTATTATTGATTCAAGCTGTTTTGATGCGTTTCTAGAGGGAAAGTGGAACTGTTTAATTAAAGGTATTTGCTGCAAATGATTAAAAAAAAAAGTAGCTTCCTCCAAAATTCTCTGCACATTTTTGGCTTGTGTTTTTGTGATTTTATTTTATTTTTTTCCTAACTGATTTTTGATGCTGTCCAAATTTTGTTTCACCATATTTTTCCTTTTATTCCAGCCCTGATGATATTGGTACCTGTTGGTATATCCTCCTGTCTGGCTCAGTATTCATCAAAGAGTCTATGTTTCTTCCAAGGAGCAGGTATGTCTATTTATACATCTGCATTATGTATTTTGAAGGAACGCTATGGGTTGGAAATTCATCCAGTTTCCAAGAAGTTAAACTAAGTGATTGGTTACTGTTTAACTACTTAGAACTTAATACCCCTTGTCTTTTTTATGGTTTACAATAATATTTTAAAATCTTTTTCAGTAAATACAGAAGACTCTTACAGACCTCCACAAATGGGTGCAGGGTCCTACATTAACTTTAAATATAAGTACTGTAAAATGCACAGTAAGCAAGGTGAAAAAAATATTTTTGCTGCAAGATAATGAGCACGCTTACATTTCTAGACACTTTATAAATAGATAACTAATTTTTATCTGGAAGAATTTCCAGTTTAACAGGAAAAATGGCATAGAAAGGTTCATGCATAAAAACAGCAGGGACATTTTGTTAAACGGGAGTGACATTTAAATGCTTTGCTTTCTATTTACATAATAAATTAGCATCTTTTGACAACGACACTTGGAAAAATTCTCATTTATTTCTGATAGCACTAAATGATCTACTAAGCTTTTACCAAATGAAGGGAAAAGGTCACAGTCCCTGCCACTAACAGTTTGTATTATAAGAGATTAAGGGCAGAGAAGAATTACAGTGGAAAAAAATAGAGGTCAAGGTGGTGACCATCGTGTTTTGATAAGTGCTTTAATAGTGCAATTTACTTTACATTAGGAATAAAAAAATTCTTTCTACTGCCCCTGTACCTCACCATTATTACTTGAGGAAATTATTCAGGAGAGATATGAAAGGAGGTAATCTGCATTCATTTCTGGAAGGGCACTACAAGCTTAGGGTATAACGCAGAAGAACATGTCGACAGGTTTATAACTGGAGAAAAAAGGTTGAAGTTGGTATCCTGGGGAACAACAGAAACATAGGGAAGATTTGATAGGTAGCAAGAGATGGTGTAATGGTCTTTGAAAGCAAAGTAAGATCAACAGAAGAGGAAGTTCAGTGGATATCAGTGTGGCCAGAAAGTATTACACTAATCAAAATGATAGACAAGGGCCCAGAACACATTTTAGCTCTATGGACAAAAGGAAAGTTGAGAATTAATACATTTTATGAATGAAGAAGAATTAAGACTTCGACATGGGTTTTAATTTTAACAAGGGACCTCAAGGAGTCCTGTGTTACGTGTTTGGATGGTGCTTGTCAATAGTAATAAAAAATGGGGTCACTTTGAAAGGACTTTAGAGAGAATGCAATTAGTTTAGTATGGCATGTTGACAGTGATTTTCCCCCCCCCCCCCCCAAAAAAAAAAAAAAAAAAAGTCGTATGTAATAATCACAGAAAAGCATTGTGCTGCAGATCTACATAGGAGATCAACAAAAACGGCAAGGAAGTTTTATTTGTATCAGACATACAGAGATAGTACCTAAAGCTACAGTAATGCATAAGATTATCACAGCAGAGGGTGTAGTGAAGGGGGAGGGACTAGGACAGAGCCTTATAATATTCTGTAATAACATGATAAGTGTAACAGGAAGAGAGAAGAAACTGGATGAGGCATGGAAGAAACAGCTAGAGGTAGAGGTAAAGAATATGTTATGAAATCTGGAGGAGGGAAAGGACATCAAACAGGAAGGAGTCATTTTAATAGTGGTTATTACTACTATTGTGATTTGTGAGGAGCACCCTGCTTTAGCAGAATGTAGATGACCTAGCTTAAGGCTGCTGCTCTCAGTCTGCAGATAGGACACAGCAGGATTCTGCTGGTTCCTATCAAAACATAAACTTTCAAGGGATTAGGCTTAACATTACACAAAAGGTTTCTGCCATGAATGTTATATTTAACTCTTTTTTCCAAAGATGAGTACTGCTGCTTCAGGAACCTGTGCAATAAAGTGCCTCCCCCCCCCCCCCCCCCCACC